AAATAAATAGTCTTCTGGTTGCAAATCTTCTAAAACCACTTTTTCTCTCTTCTCTGGGGAAGACGCTCAAGCTGCAGCCATCTTACAACTCTAATGACAACATTCCTCACTGGGAAAAGTTGCACAACTTTCAGTTGGAGAGAGAACATCTTTGACGTGCTCTCTACCTCTTATTTAAAGATGTCTGGAGAGTTTCCACCAATGGTTGTCTTTAAAGAGAGAATTGAAGTTTAAACTCAAAGATTAATTTTAGTTTTATTTTTAACATAAAAAAAAGAGAACTCCAACCTACTTGGGAACAGGAGGATGTTATTCTGTTGAGAAGTCAAATAAGTGAAAACTGATACTTTTTGGCACCAAATAGTCCAATACCCCACAACAATATCACTTAAAAAATGTTAACTTTTCTCAGGTACTCATTTTCCTCGGAAAGAGGCAATTCACATTCTCTGTGCAATCTCCTCTGCTTGGTCTGAGGGGGTGTGTGGCAAATTGCAGTAAATGGGGTAAGATTGCCAGACAATCTCATCTAAGATCCCTTTTCCTATGAAAAGTTGGACCAGAGGATCTTTGAGGTCCCTTCCAACCTGGGCTGTTCTCTGATTCCAGTAAAACTGGACAGACAGACTTGTCCGGGACCAGAGAATCATAAGGAACTGCGTCAGTGTTCCCAAACTAAAACGGTTCTGATTTTGGCCAGAATATTTTGTTTTCACTTATATTCTATTTTTCTGGTTCTTAAGTCCTTTTTTTTTTTTTCTGTGGGAAATGTCTTGATGAGCTCTGTTCTCTTTGAAGATGATCCCGGTCCATCTCTCGGGAGAAACTTATCATACCCTGACGATCAAGAGAATTTTAGAAAACTCATGGCTAGCCCAGCCTCTCATGTAGGACTCTAGGGTAACTCTGGAATAGCTTTTTGGCACAGAGGTCTGCTGCTAACATCTGTTGCAAGCATGACTGAAAAATTGAAGAGCACTTTCCCCCGCCCCCTGCCCTTCAAAACCTATTAATAGGAAGAGGGATTTTTGGTCAGGGTTTTTTTTTTTTTTGCAGCTGCTGGGACTCTAAGGATCCTCATGAAAGAGATGAATGGGGGATTTAGGGCAAGATTAGCTGCATTGATTTCGCTGTTTGCAGAAGGATTTACAGGGCATTGGAGTATCTTTAATCCATGGAATTGGTCCAGGACATCCACCCAGCAGTGGTTAGCCAGCCCTGCAGGTACTTAAAACTCATAATGTGCCTCCATGTTTTGTCTTGATATTGTATATTTAAACAAAGATAAGGATACATATATGCAGTAATCACGTAGATGGGGCTATTGCCTGCCATCTATGCTACATCGTGGTGAAAAAGCAAAGTGAAGAACCACCTGAAGCTGTGAGAAAGGGCTGATCTGTTAGGGTATTTTGGTCATCAATAGGTCTACACAAATAAACTAAACAGAAGTCAGGAGGGGATGGGCCATGGGTCTAGAAGAGGAATGGACAGGTAGGAGACTGAATAAAATCCCAAAGTATTTAACTGGGATTTTTTGACATTGCCAGATACCTCCCCCCCAAGCAGAACTGACAATTTACAGAAAGTGGCAGGATGCTGCAACCATTTTAATTCTGACAGAATTGCAAAGGATCTTTTCTGTGAACTGTGTCAAGCCAGCTGTGTCGTGAATGTACTTTATCATGACTATACAAAAATGCATGTTGAGATAATCTTTGTATGGCAGTATGACTACCAACTTTTGACCGAGAATCAGATCGAGGTGAGCTTTCAACCACCTTTCTGGATCGTCTTTGCTATTATTTCTCTAATACCTTTTTATTAGAGAACAGCTGAGGGGAAAGAAAAACCCACCACAATAAAATACCAACAAATCCCACAACCATGTCTCATTTGTGGAATTCAGAAGAGAAAGTGAAATACAACTCTCCTTGTTATTATGGTCTCTTCTTATCTTGCAGAGGTGGAGGTGACGAGATCTCAAGCTGCTGTTGAGCTGCTGCTGGCATCTTAACTGCCTGATGTTTCCCAGTGCTGTTTTCAGTTCAGGAATAAGACCTGGTGATTTTTTCAAATGTTGTGTAAAACATATTTATGTGCTTAGGCTGGTGCCTCCTCAGATGCCGTCCTTGTGGTTACGGCTGCTCGCAGAAAGCACGCTAATTTGCACTGCAGTTTTGCTGCTTTGAATTAGCAGAACCCAGAATTTCCTGGGTCTGAGCTGGTTCCTGCGGTGACAATCGAGAGGTCTGTAGTGGGAGAACACAGTGAAATTGCTCCCTAGTATTTCTTTGGGTCTGCTCTTACAATTCTCCAGACATGACTCATTTCAATGCAGAAATCAGTGCTGCAAAACTTTTCATAGGGCATGGAAACAGTGCATGATTTCTGTTATTTCTTTGCAGAAATAACTACAGCTTGCAAAATTTGCAGGGATCACTTGTTCTGATCAGAAGGGGACACCAGACACTTGCCACACTTAATTCGTGTTTGCCCAGGACAGAAAATGGCCAAATGAGAAACAGAAACCTGCAAAAAAAACCTCTACTCATGGGCTTTGCAGTATAAAGGAAATCTCAGAAGATGGAATTCAGCCTGGGTAGGGTTCATCTCACTTCATTTACGTGTCTGCAATGTAAACATCTTTATGTGAACTATGTGGCTCTGCTCCCACCACAGTCAACAGAGATCTGCTGCATATATTCAGTGTGAGGGTGATGCATCTCTCTCAGTTGCAGGTAGCTATAGCTTCACTCAGTTGCTTAAATGCAAGTATCTGGTGTCACTTGGGACGCCTCTGCCTACAACGGCCTCTCCAGAACTGTGTGGGTGTCCTGCAGTTCAATAATTCACAGGAGATGAGATTTATATGCCTACATAAGTGTTTTCTTATTTCTGATACCCTATGGTATCTGAGATATGTACGGGACTGACAGGTACGCAGTTATGGCACAGACCCCATGGGAGACTGAGGCCCTTCTGCAGCAGCAGCTGACGGCCAGGTGGGAACATCCAGGGCGTTTCTGTAGCATCTCCAATGCAAACAAATCCCACCTTATAACCCAGGGACCAAATGTAGGTTTCTACTTTAGGGAAGCTCAACTGCTGCTCTGGCTGCACGGGTTATAGGGAGCAGAACAATAAATTAGTAAGCTGCTGTCAGAAACGTCTTCTCCAGGTCACAATTCAAATGTGGATTGGGACTGGTGGGCTCCATCAGAGCAGGTCTTGTGGCTTTTGTGAACTGAAGAGAATTGGCAGGCCTAGCGCCTAGTCTGGGCAGAGCGAGTGGACAGATCTCTGCACAGCTTCTTATGGAGACAACCTTTCTCTGCTACCTGCTTTGATCAGAATCTAGTTTCTTGGAAGGTGACACATGGCAGGGAAATACCCTGTTCTCCAGGCTTTCCATGAAAAACCAAACTACCTCACCAGCTTGGCCAGGAGCAGCTCAGAGCTCCTGTCATAGATGATGTTCTCGAAGTGATTAGAGGAATGAGATTTCCTTCCCATTATCCAAAAAGCACAAATGACTGTTACTGTGATAATCACACTGTGGCAGTGATGTATTTATTATTGCAGAAAATACTGTGGCATTGCCTCAAACCTGGAATCAGAAAGCAAGTGGGACCTGGAGCTGCACACTATGGTATACAGACACAAAGCTCAGCCCTTCTCCGTTCCCCCTCCAGTCTCTCCAGGATCCCCAACTGTTTTCACTTGCTGAAACCATAGTGGAGACAGACACTGAACAGGGGTGGCCAACTTTCTGTATAATACCCATGTTGCCCTTCAGAGCTGCCAGCAATGGCTGTGCTGTGATTTGGGGGCAGCTGGGCAGGATAAAGCACAAGTGTTTTTCCAGCAAAGCCACCCAGGGAAGCGAGGAGTGCAGAGGCAGGCGCTGGGGGGTCAGGCTGACAGCAGTGTTGGGAAAAGCAGGTCGCAAAGGGATTTGAACAGTAGATTATCAGGGTGACATAGTAAGTAAAACAGGGAGATTTATGATTCAACTGGTATTTATTTGAAATGCTGGTGTAGATCCCCTTTTCAAATACATTGTGATTTGGTGGGTGGTTGTCTTGTGACAGGGCATGATTTTTTTTGGGAAAAAAAAAAGTAATCTATGCCATGTGGCAGCAACCGCGCCTCAGCGACCTCCTGATTTAGAAAAACGACAGTTTTCAAATGCAGATCTGAAAATTGTTAACTCTGTTATGCTTTGAAGGGGGTTTATTTAAATCAAAGTGAGGCTGGGATTAGAAAAGCTTCAAATGGGTACCCTTATCTTAGTTATTTTAACAGGAATTTGGCATTCAAATCTCCAAAATGATCGGGAAAATCTCAGCCATGAGGATGTACTTATAATTCTATCCCAGACCACGTGTGTGTGTTTTCCTGCTCGTTAGATGCGTTCTGCTACAAGGTTCTTTGCACTTCCCCAGGAGAAGACCAGTGTGTGATCTGACGCGTGAATTCTCCCCTGCCTCTGCTGATATGCTCATGGTCAACCTCCCACATAGTTCCATCCTCATGTCTAAATATAAATCTGTGCTTGGCTTTTAATGAACCGCAGCACAACAAAGGCCAGGCGTGCCATCCAGCCTGAAAGGGAGACACTCTGCAGCCAGTGAGCTGGGAAGGGAAGGGCCAGCCTGGCCCTGGGGAGGATAAAACCCATCGATGGGACCTGGGTGGTAACCCAACCCCCTCCTCGTACACGCACACGCATGCACATGCACGTGCACACCAAAAATGTTTGACCCAGTGCCAGCCTCAGCTAAAACCCCCCAAACTCTCTTTCCATTTAAGTGCTAATTCGTAACAATGCCATATCCGATGGCTCTAAAATAGCTGGGTGAATGTTTTGTCCTTTTATAGCAGCGGCCCTATTGTAAGCTCCGGCATGTGACAGGTCTGAGAGTGACACAATGTGTGACTTCAAGAGACTGGACAGGAATAAAGACCTGTGTGTGCTGGTGATCTATCCTGCAGCAGCCACCTCTTTCCTGTCTGTCTGTCTGTCTCCTTCTCTCCCTTTCCAAAGCAGCCCACCAGCAAACCAACATGCCTCCAAAGAAGCCCGAACCTAAGAAGGCTGAACCTAAGAAGGAAGAACCCAAGCCAGCACCTAAACCAGCAGAACCAGAACCCAAAAAAGAAGTTGAATTTAACCCAGCTTCTATCAAAGTACGTATCTTTTAACCTGGCATGGGAGGTGCCAGGCTGACGGGGCTCGGGTTGGTGGTGGTTCTGGTGACGGTGTATTCAATGCTGTGAGATGACATTGTCCCAAAGTAGCTCTTGGTTTTGAGCAGAAGTTGAGCAGCAAAGGCATTTGCCACAGGCAGAGTAAGAGTGGGAGCAAAGTCACTGGGGACTCTGCTAAACAGAGAAGATAAAAGCTGAATCCTATTTTATCTGAGGATGTTCAGACCTGTTTGTCCCCTCTTATCCCCCAAGTAGCAAACTTTCTCTCACGCAAGCTTCGCTGACCTCAGTGGGAAAGTTATTGCTCCTCTGCAGGCGATATTGCAGGTAGAAGCCAGGAAGGCTTGACCGTACTCAGGGCTGACCACGGGCTAACCAACAGCCAAGGCTAGACTGTAGGTTTGGAGGGGGCTCGCACCATGGGTTGAATTCATTTCTCTCTGCTGGGAATGCATCACTTCAGTAGACATCACCAGCCTGGGACTTCCTTAAAGTGAGCCAGTGACATGTCCTGTGGTTTTCCAAAAAAGCCCAGCTGAACGGCAAAGGAACTATGTGCTTATATGTGTGTCTTGGAAGGCAGGGAGAAACTTGGGCAAAAATCCAGATCTCCTGAATGACCTGCTGCTTTCAGGTTCTACCCCAAGGATTCCTCCAAAGGGCATGAGCCTTCCCTTCCTCCTTCTCCTTTAGAGAAGTCTCTGCTGGAAAGAGTCACTGCTAATCTCAGAAGAGTTTGCTGAAGTCTTTCCCAAATGTGTAAGGACAAGATTATGTTCCCAAGGCCATTTCAGAAATTGGTTTTGAGAGAATTTGGGGTCACTACTCTAATCCTGAGCTGCTTAATTGGCATCACATCGCCCTTTCAGTGAATAACCTCATTGACAGGAAACTGCCAGTGTCTAGGAAACACTCAAGGTTTTAAAGCCGTGAAGTAGGTGATTTGAGTGAAATGATGTGCTTTTCTTCCATGGCAATTGGCCCTTCAGCAGATTTTTTCTTTTATTTCAAAAGAAATTTCTCTCAGAGAATGATAAGAAGAAGGAAATTATATATTCCTGTGGAAATGACCATGAAATGGACTATCAAAGAGTGACCTCTTGACTTAGAAAAATGCAATAAGCAGATAAAGGTCTCAAAATGACTAGTTCCCCTTTGCTCCCTATGCACCACATGCATTCACAAGCAATGTCAGAGACCCCTGCACACGTCATTAGGAACAGCTTTCCCATATTGCTTGCACAGTAAATACCCCAAGATGGAGAGACATCGCAGGATATAGCAGGAGTTATTTGCAAGGCATTGTCCTCTGGGAATTCTCCTTTGGGAAAAGGCATTGCCCTTGGGGAAAAAAAGAGGAGCTTTGCAGCATCTTTTCTTTCTCATGGGGATTTGGGACAGGCAATGACTGGGCGTAAATCAGCATTAATTTGTTGATTAGTTTAAAGCAGCCTGATTCTTTCCTGTTTCTTGCAAGAAACTGGGTGACCAACAGAGGAGTCCTGGTGATCACCTGCATTTATGGTGAGCCAGAGGACAGGAGACCAGACTAGATAATGCCGAAGAAGAAAACGGACAGAGCTCCACTGCCATCCATGGCACCAGCCTCTCAGAGTGAGATGAGGGAGGAATGTCTCTGGGACCCTCTCTTGTTAGCTGAAAAGAGAAAGTTTCTCCCTCAGGAAAACATAGAAACTATGTGAGAAAGGGAATATGTTACTCTCTCTCCAGCATGTCTCCTAAGCATTCCGCTATGGGTCTCATGGGTAGCTTGTAAATCACAGGCTGCTGAAACCTTTTGCTTCTTCCACGTGGAGCTGACTCCTGCAGCTGGGGATTTCCAACAAAGCAAGCACTGAAAGTGAATTAATTCTTCCTTGAATCATAAAGACCTTGAAAATCTTTAGGTTTAAATACTGGTGAAAAAAGCACAATCATTTGTAACTATATCAAGAAGAAGTTGAATTACAAGGAGTTTGGTTTTGGGCTAGTTTTTAAAGCAAGGGACACCAGAGTTAGTGCTGTGCTCTGAAATGACCTTCCACTGTGACCTTGGGCAAGCAGTATCTGGTGGGATCCAGCACTCTGCTAACATCTCTGTGCTTAACATTCCTGCACCGTAAAAGGAGGAGGGGGCGATTGCAATAACTTCTCTCTGAGGGCACAGACAGCTTCAGCCAGGATACCATGACCTTGTGGTAATAATCAGCTGGGATACTATGACATTGTGGTATGAAGGGCAGCTAAGTCCAGTAGAGAGAGGAGTTGTGATTTAAAAAACCCCAAACCCCAGACTGGTACTGCTCAAAAAACAGACAAGCATCTTTGTAGTCAATGCAATTTCAAGATCACCAAATACATTTCAATCCAAATAACATTTGAAACCAATTAATTTCTGCTGTCTTTTTTAAATTTTATTTTAAACTTACCCTGCACACTCATTTTTGCAAATTCTTATTTTTCCTTCCAGTGCAATGTGCAGTTACCGACTCTTATCCTGTTTTTTAAAGTGCTGAAAAATACATATTGAGTTCCTAAAAAATAAGTAAATCCAGTACTCCCGTGATAACATCCCTTAATATTCTCAGAGAATATTCCATTATCTATTACATACCAAATTGGTCTGGGGAAAGCATTGGTAGATGCATGGTTTGAGCCTGGGCTATTCTTTTTTTTTTTTTTTTTTTTCAAAATTCATAGCAAAGGGAGAAGATATTCTCTAGGGAAGTTTTCCTGGGAATTTTACAATTAAATGTTTTTCATCAAAAATGCTTTTGTCAAAATTGAAGCTGTTTGTGCACAGGGGCTGGGTCTGGCAAATATACTGCTTCCTGCTTCATAAACCTAGCTCTGGTGGAGCTCAGGCCATCTGGTGTAGATCAGAATACCTCCCTAGATCATTGTACAGCATTTGAAAAAAATGCTTTAATGAGTTTTGAAATTCTCCAAACATCCCATTTCTGCATTCCAGGATGAAACTGGCTCTTATTTTCAGGCAGAAGATAATCTGTGGTTAAAAAAAGGCGAGGAAAACAACCTTGTATCAAAACAAAATGTCATAAATTATCAAAAAGCATCTTTTGATGGGAATGTCTCAAACTATCAATATTTATTCTCAGACTTTATTGCACAACTTTGTATTTGGAATTTTTAAACTTTATTTTAGAGACTAAAAGGTCTCAAAACTGAAATATTTCTGTGGTGGAGGAAAGTACTTCTTGTTTCAATTTTCCTGACTGTTACAGTCTGCTGTCATGATAATGGTCCAAGAGCCTTATTTTGCACTCCAGAATCACATTAGATTTTCCCATTGCCTTTCTCTTGCTGCTTCATGGCCTCAGTCTGTATTAGGGTCTCTACTGGGATGTCAGTTACAGTGGCCTAAATGTGAGATACGTCCCCTTAAGTAAATGCAATTATTCTAAAGTTTTAATGTTATTCGCGTATCACAGATTCCTGCAGGGTTTGATCCAATACTGAAAAATTTTCTGAGTGCATTGGGTGCGATTGAGTGTTGTTTGCAACTCACAGAAAAGAAGTTTGGGGTCTGTTTGTTTGTTTGTTTTTCTGTAAGAGTTTCTCTGAGTCTGCAAGGAAGTCTTTTTCAAGACAGTGTTTCTCTAGAATGGCCCCTGAACTTCTTTACTTTGGGGAACAAATTGTCCTGAAGAGATTTTGTAGCAAGAAGATCGTCTTTTCCATCTATCTAATTCATTCCCACCTGAACGCTGTCTTTTAGCAGGGGGGGGCACATTTTGCCAGAAATATATTCTGCTCTCCTGAAAGGCTGATGCAAAACAGGATTCGTCTTTTATTGTAATGGACACAGAAAGTGGGCTTGGCTCATCTAGCTTTAACCATTGGAAAGCTGATCATTGACCTTAAACAGATCATCTATAACCAGCAGAGAGAAACTCTCTGGAGGTTTGCCCCTTGCATCACCTATATCGGGATGGACTGAATCACCCTGGGGAGACGCTGTTGATAGAGGGAGATGAGACAGGTATTTGGGTGCCAACATTTCAGCAGCTAAAATTAGCTGAGATGGGGTCTGCTCAAAGCCCGGTGAGTCCTGGGTATTAAAAGGCCATGCAGAGACAGCTGGTGTGTGTGAGGATCTGGAAAGGACACGGCTTACCATATAGAGTTATCCTCAATAACCACATTTTCCCTTGTCATCACTCGATATGCTTATTGTAGCAGCATGCAGTAATACAGGTGCCTGGGGAAAAAACAGTCATCGTTTATTTTCGTGGAGTACTGTGATCTTGGAGCCATGTGAAACCTGTTCTCCCTGAAAAGCCCTGCAGGCTTCTGAACATCTGCAGGGATACTAAAAAATAAAAACCCCTTCCCTTTTTCTGCCAGAAAAGATGTAAGAGCATCCGGGATGGGAGCAGCCACGAGGGCAATATGATGGCATCGTGCAGCACCAGGAAGGATGAGACCCTGCCGGACTCAGCTGCTCAGCTCCAAAGCACCGAGCGCGCTGCAGTGCGATGGCAGGGTTGCAGCCGGGCAGACGTGCAGGGGAGCTCGTGCGAGCCTCGGCCGCCGCGTGAAGGAGGGCTGAGCGGAGGTTGGGGTGGCTGCAGTCTGGAGGAAGGGAAGCAAAGGGCTCTTGGAGGAGAGGGACTGGTTTTCACGGGGAAAAATCCCATTTTGACAACAAATGCAGGTTTTGGTGCCTTACTGAAGAATTTATTCTGGGCTGAAGTGACTGAAATGATTATTTCAGAGTGAGCTTGGACGTGGGAGAAATGCGTATGAGTTAACAGCGGACATACCTGTGAGAAGGGTTTGGATGAGGGAATGAAAAAGCAGTTACTTTGTGGATAACAAGGATTTTTTTTGTTGGGTAAATGTGCTGCATTAGTGTGCATGAAAGGAAAAAAAATGCTCTGTTAAACATGTGGCTGTATTAAAGAAATTCAGTTTATGGGAGTAACGAATGTGTGTACAAGAGAGGGTGAAGCAGC